TCCTTTAGGATTGACTGGTTTGACCTTCTAGCAGTCCAAGGGGCTCCTAAGAGTCTTCTCCAGCACCACAATTCAAAGGCATCAATTCTTTGGTGCTCAGTCTTCCTTATGATCCAGCTCTCACAGCCAATAGATTGTGTACCTCTGTGTTTTATTGCCTGTACTTTAAATCTGTCCCACCTTTCCTGTGAGGAGCTGAGGTTCAGGAATCTGGCCTGATCCCACCGTAAGCATGCAACATGTGTGTTCTCCCATATATGTGTGAAGATGATGTTTTCTTTCTTGCCAATATTCTCTCTCTTTTTCTCTCTCTCACACCCTCTCTCCTTCTTATTTGCAAAGAAAAGACTTACCCTGCTTGTCAAGAAAACTCAGTGTTTATGATGACCCCTTGATCCTTGCTAACCCAACACACTGAGCTGGAATGGGCTTGTTTTATTTTGATTTGTGCACTGTGAGAACTTGCCCAATTCAGGCTGATTCAGTGAATTGTAGTTAAACAAACCATGGGTTAACATGAGTTGGGGGTGGTCTCATTTTTCTGCAGGAGAACCATCTCAAGTGCAGGCCTTGGAACTGAGCTGCGGCTCTGGAACTGGACAAGTGACATTGAACCCCCGTGAGATGTTGGAGCTGAGCTGCAGTCTATTTCCTGATATCAGCCCTTTGAGGTAGGCCAGGTCAAGAAAAAGGCACCACATAGTTTCCAAGAATGCTGCTTTATTTTTATAGGGTATAATAACAGAATCTTGAAAGCTTGCTAGAGTTTCTCTCTACTCCATCTTATACCAAACAAAATCAAAGCAGCGTTATTTTAAGCTTCTTTCTCATGCTTTCTCTGTTCTTAGCACTGAGTACAGGTAGTCCTCACTTAGTGACCATTCGTTTAGTGAAGTTACAATGGTGCTGAACTAAGAGACTTACAGCCAGTCCTCGCACTTACAACCGTTGCAGCACCCCCACAGTCATGCAGTTGCAATCTGGGTGCTTGGCAACCAACTCATACTTATGATAGTTACAGCGTCCCACGGTCAAATTTGCCATTTGCGACCTTCCCAGCTGGCTTCTGGCAAGCAAAACCAATGGGGGACCATGTAATTCACTTAATGACTGCATGATTCGCTTAATGGCTGCAGTGATTTGCTTAATGACTGCTGCAAAAAGGGTCGTAAAATCGGGCGTGACTCGCTTAACAACTGCCCCGCTTAACAGTGAATTTTCCGGTCCTTATTGTGGTCATTAAGTGAGGGCTGCCTATAATATTTTCTCTTCCCTTGTCGGTTCCTTGCTCCCTTTCCTCTTCCCAAGGCTAGGTCTCCGTTCCTTTCCACCCAGTGAGCAGTTTTTCAACATCACGTGGAGGAAGAACGGGCATCCATTGGGAGAAGAAGACAACCTCCGTGTCCTCCCCAACGGTTCTTTGTTGATCACGTCATCTGAGGGAGCTTTGAGAGGGGGCAACCACTCAGGAGGACCCAGCGTGGAAGGAAATTACTCTTGCACGTCTCATGGCTCATTTGGATCAGTCACTGGCCAAACACTGGTGCTCCGAGAATCAAGTAAGTAGCTATCCCCTTCAATTAATTGCAGAAGCCCTTCAACCTCGGATCTCTTTTTAAAAAAGAAAATGAAACATGTTTCAAGACCTTACTGTGGTGTAATGTAGACCTAAACGTCAAGGTAATCTGAAAGAAAGATCGGAAGTGTTGAAAGAGCTTTAGGTCAAATTTCCTTGTGCCTAAAGCAAGGGAGTCTGCAAGAGTGGGATCAAAATCTGCAAGATGACTGGCACGGTGTTGCAGTTAAAGCCCCGCCCCTTTTTTGTATATACCTGTCCTCTTGCAGATTGTGATCCCCCACTTCCAGATGCCCCAGCCTAGAAGGCAGACTTCTACTTATTCGTGTAAGGACTTTTTCCTTCCAGATAGAGCAGGGTTTCTCAACCTTGGCAACTTTAAGATGGGTGGACTACATCTCCCAGAATTCCTAGCCAGCTATTCTAGAATTCTGGAACAAAGGCTGAGCAATCTGTAGTGCTCCTTTGGCTATTGAGGTTGCTGGGAATTGTAGTTCAACAACATCTGGGGAGGATCACCGGCTGCCTCTCTGTAGTCTACAGTCTTGGGTTAGGGTTGGGGTTTTTTACTGACCTCTTGAAAACGTACGATTCAACTTGTCCTAACAGTATTCATCCAATTCAAATAAGAAATCGGGCAAATTAATACCGGTGCTCTACAAGACATTGTTCATTTTTGTTAATTAGAGTATGGAGCAAACCTGTTGATGATTATATGGATCCTTGGTTGTTCTAATAAGATGAATACATTAAACCTATTTTTAAACCTCATTTACTAAAACAGAACAAAGAGGGGAAAAAATAAAGCAATAGCAAAAAGAAGAAACAAAAGATACATAATATTTATTTATATTTCAAATTTGTCACCGCCCATCTCACTGCAGAGCCACTCTGGGCAGTTTACAGTAAAAAGAATAAATATTAGTTAAAATAGAATAAATATGAATTAAAGTACATTACAAGAAGACTTCCTATATAAATATAGGAAGTTTACACCACAGTTTCAATAAATCTTGGCCACATTTCACTGCAACTGTCCATACTTAATCTATGCCTGTAAGCAACTTGTTCATAAAACATATTTTATTAATATTTGTTCCATAAGCAAATCTTGTTTGACAGGTTAAATGGCCAGCCAAAGAACTGAAACCTGTCTGAAACGCAATACTCCCTCTGCTAGTTTTAAAGTAAAAGTAATCGCTTCTTGTGTCTACTTGGGAACCTTTTTATGAAGAGCAAGAAAAGAAAAGAAAAATTTCAATCAGGAGATTCACTTTACTGTCTATGTTCACTTGGACAGTAAAGTGAATCTCCTGATTGGAATTTTTCTTTTCTTTTCTTGCTCTTCATAAAAAGATTCCCAAGTGGACCCCATGAGCTTTACACAATATACAGAGATTGTGTTGCCCCAGCAAAAAACATATAAGGAACTCATGTTTCCCTCTTTCTAAATTATTATTGATTGACTGAGTGATGGATTAGCCATGAGGACATATCAGAATACAAAATATAAGACAATAGTTAGACCATATATAACAAAAAGTGTAAAAGGCAGAACTAAAAGAAAATACTCTTTTGTTGTATCACCCCTACAATTTACCCCAAGCAGATCCATGTTTGCAGTTCTCAATTGTTCTCTTATTCAGATAAAAGGCAATATTATATGTAATATTTGGGTTCTGACCACATGTGAAGTATGTTGTTCTAATGTATGGATCCCAATGGGCTGTTTGCCTAAGGCAGTGTCTGTCAACCTTGGGAACTTTAAGAAGTGTGGACTTCAACTCCCAGAATTCCCCAG